TAATTAAGTTTTAGTAGATTTGATGTTCAACAGCAAGAAATTAAAACCATAAGCCCATTAGAAATAGAAACAGGAGTAGGCCATTCAACCCCTAGAGCCATTCAACCCCTAGAACCTACTCCACCATTCAGTTGGATTGTGGCTGATTGACATTCCTCACTTCCACCTTCCTGCCCTTTCCTTGTAACCCTTGATTCCCCGACTGGTCAAGAATCTACATATCTCAGCCTTAAATGTACACAAGGACTCTGTCTCCACAGCTCTTTGAGGCAAGGAATTCTAAAGAAATTTCTTCTTATCTCAGTATTAAATTGGCATCCCTTTATGCTGAGACAATGCCCTCTGATCGTAGACTCTCCTACGATGGGAAACAGACTCTCAGCATTTATCCTGTCCAATTTATCATATTTGACAAATCAGATATGAACATCAAATTTGCCACTATTTTATTCCCATGTATACTATTTTAAATTAGGTGTAAAAGCCTTCATTTTAAACAGGAAAACACTTGTTTATAAAGCCCACAAGGGAAAACTGCATGAACATGTCAAATGAACTTTGTCAATCAAAATTTATACCCTAATCAATTCAGCAGGTATAATGCTAACCCACTTGGACAAAAGGGCAGGTTAAATACTATGATGAAGGAAAAAACAATTGAATGCTGTGACAAGAATCTACTAGTTGGTAAGTTAAGGGTTAAGTGACCTTCCTTATCTATTTCAATCTTGCGTTCACTTAGCTATTGCAAATGTTAGACTAAATCTTGTTTTGAAATATTACACAGAAACACGACACACAAACTGACCAGTTGGCACAATCAGTTCATGATGGTATTTATGTTTTGTGCAAGATTTATTAGTTTTATTTTGAGGAAAGAAAAAATATAATCCTCCGTGAACAAAAAAGTGCATCTTTTTACCTGAAAATTATTCAAGTATTTCTAATCTTTGTATCGTATAGAAAACAAATTATATAAAGCACTACCAGGAAAATATCTATATTGTTGGTATGTAAAGGTGCTAACAACAATTGTGATAAGTTCTTCATATATTTTCCACGATAAAGGAAACATCAAGAACAGCAGTTGCAGTTCACATTTGAAAGCAGGTCTTCTAATTTTTGCAATGTAACAGAGTGGGGAAGGGAATTTTCCAGCAAGGACAACAGCTGCTTTTCTTATCAAAGCAAACTCTTAACAAGAATGGCAAAGTTGGCAGCACCGGTAGTGTTCCATATTTCTAATCTGCCAGATCACCCTTTATCCAACTTATTATTTATTTTCTCTCTGACGGCCGAAAGTCGAGAGATGCTTTCCAGGTCAAGGGGCTGGACTCACGTTTAGTTTGGCTGAAAGCAAAAGCAGGCACCGCGGCTGGAGCCAGCAAAAGGCGCCAGCCCGGAGGCGCACGTGGTCCGGCGAGCCTCGGCGCACCGTACAGGTGAGCGGACCCGGGCGCGCCACCGCAGCCGAGGCGTCGGTCATCCGCATGCATCGGCCACGTACGCTGTCCGCACCCCAATGCACGCATCCGAGATCCACCTAACTGTTGACACGGACTCCCACGCTCAGGTTTCCCTTTCACCAGTTAACTCCCCCCACCCCCAATCCCAGCCTGTGCTGGCGGGCGCAGCAGCGGCACGTGCCGTGGGCGGGCGCGAGGGCGTTCCCGGGGAAGAACCCGCCGCAATTTGAATCGAGAGGATTCCAGACGTGGAGAAGATTTTGTGAATAGGACCAGTGTATGTGTATGGTTTGTGTGTATGTAGAGTCAGAACAACAAAACATAATAACCAGCCAATTCTTGAGGGCGCAGAGAGGGACGACAGACTGTTCTTTTTATTATTTTTCCTTGTTATTTGGTATAAATTCTCATACCTCCAACCCCCGACTCTTTCGTCCCCAACCCCCCGCCTTCCTCCCCGAACACTACCACCAGCCCTCTTGCAGAGGAACGACAACTCTCCTCCCTGCTCGCCCCTCAACACTCTCCCAGCACCGTCGCCCAGCAGCACCCCATCCATCCACCTGCGGGTGAGCGGATCGCCTCCGGCCAGCCCAATGGATACCTCCTTCGGGTACGTGTGAAATCGACAGGAGCGCGACCGTTAGCGGCATCACGTGGCCCCGGAGTAGGGCAGGGGCGGCGCTCTGCTGTTTCCCGGTTCATCGTGAACGGGCAGGTGGGGTGGGGGCGAAAGGGAGCTATTTTAAAAACAAATGCTCTTCCCCCCCCCCCCCTTTCCCGGCGAGTCCGCGGTACCTCTGGGAAGGGGGGCGATGCGGCTGTAACAGGTGCCGGTGCAAAGTCTCACCTTCGAGGTCTTCAATCACCCGGGGTGGGGGTGCAAGAGGCAGTGAGGTGGGCGGGTGGATTTTGAAGTTTTCTTTTTAATGTTGAGATTGATTCCGGAGTGATTAACCGGTTGAGGTTTGTTGTTGTGTTATTTTTTCTGATTTCCCCTGGTGGGTGTGATGAGGAAATTGTTGGCATCCCAGTGTCCGTGCGGATCTTTACGTACCTGCAGCTCCTCGACATGGGCCAGGTGGAGACACTCACCTACTCAAACCGAAAACAAAAACAGGAATTATTGCCTTTTCAATAATTAAATGCTGGAAACCATTCAGCAGGTCAGGCACCACCATCTGTCCAGAGAGAGGGAAATCAGCAAGAGTTAACTTCAGCTTCGCCACTTCTTTCTTTTACCAGGACCTGCAAGGAAATGAGTGATGCAGCATTCTTTGGCCATTGATATACACCTACTTGCCCATTAGCCCCGTCGCTATTTTTGACAAGGAACTCCAACATTTTAATGACCTTCGCTCTTGCAGTATTGCTTGTCGAGTGTCTCTCCAGCATTTTCTGATACCAAGTCCTGTTATTGCAATCCATTCTGGAAAAAGCTGTCAAAAGCAGTGACACTGCAGCTGGTCACAGTGGTTACATTGTACATTTATTTTAAAAATTGTAAAATTTGGATATAATATGTTTTTTATCAAGAGCCCCTTTGCCTACAAGACATAGCTCGGGAAACCTAAGGGGGTGGGTTACAAGAAAGGTGCACCAACTGACGAAAATGCAGAATAACTAGATTGTTTTATTCAGGTAAAGGGAAGATGCCGAAAGCTGAAGAAAAAAAAGTCGAGGATAAATGTCATCAATAAACAAAAAGGGTAGTGGGTTATGTTGGGGTAAAAGAGTGATGAAAAGCACAAAGGGAAAGCAGTGGTAACGGAAATGAGGAAACTAATCTACAAAAAAAAGAGGAAGAAAGATGACAAACTGATGGCAAGAAATATAAGTTTAAAAATTAGCACGAACAAACAACAAAGGGAGGGTGGTGGCGGGCATAGTGCCCGTCAAATTATTAAAAATGCGAACGGTCGTTGAAATTCCAGGGTTCCTCCAAGCAAAAACCTGGTGTGAGGATTTTTGTTTCATTCTGATACAATTGTTGCTAATAACTAAAATATGTAGCAAGTTTAGGCTCTTTGCAAAAACAAGCGAGTGTAACCGGTTGCCATAAAATTGGAAATAGGAAACGATTGCGGAAGATATTCCAATTGACCAGGTTTGGCAGCGCAGCGGTATCTGCATTGGAAGTATCAAAAATGCGAACTCGAAAAGATATTTGCCATAACCATAGGGATAAAAAAGGGAGCTTATGTGTGAATTTTGGCAGAAATAATTTGCTTGAATGGATCCAAATTGATCAAAAATGTACAATTCCTGGTAATTAAACATTAAACGCAAATCCAATTGAATTTGGCTGTAAACACGAAGCAAATTACAGACCTTGCTATATTTTGTTTACTTAAACATTAAGTAATAGAACATTAATCATGCGGAGATAAGTATAGGGAGAAAACACTTGGGAATTGTATTTATTTAAGGACTTTGTTGTTTTCATTTGGTATTTCCTTTGATCTAAAGTTCGTGCGCATTCTCTGCAGTCGGTCCATAAACGTGAATCCAAAACCTTGTGCTGAAGCAGCACCAACTGCCTTATAGGTTTATTGTCCCGTTGTGCTACACACGTGTCAGGAGTGTGAAGGAAAGAGGAAGTGTATTACAGTGATCCAAAATTCCAAATTACTTCTGCTAAACTTACACATCTGTTGGCGATGGTAATACATCCAAAAATTTATATTGTATCAACGTAAATGATATTTAAATTGTAATTATTAGCGAAACATAATCTAGAATATAGTTTGGTTGACAACTTTTAATCTATGTGTTTGAATACACTTTATATCTACCGCAAGAAAATAGTCAGCTTGTTATAGATAAATTTTGGAATATTCAAAGAGGAACATGCACATTTGCTTTGTTGTTTTGTTTTAATACTGGTACGTTTACGAACAAAGGACCCTCATTTCTCCATATTTAGGTTTCATTGCAAAACTGCAGGTTGCGCCATCTATGGAATAAGCTCTCAAACTTTTTGTTCAGTTCAAAAAAAGTCATCTAGTCGCGTAAAAAAGTAGCTTGTCTTTCTGTAGGTATGTGTTCTTAAAATTATGTTTTTCAGTCAAGTTTTCTATTGACTTGTAAGAAACGGTAACTAGGATATAACCTGACCCCCCGTTTTCCCAATTTGTTACTCCAGCAGCATTTCACTAATAATCAAAATGTTGAACAAATTTACTTGGTTGCAACCACCGTGCGTGTGACTTTCTGCGGGAGAAACTGATTGTTTTAGAAGCAATATGGTAATTGTGTAGTTTAGCACCAGGGAACCCCGGGACTGGATTCTCTCATAGAGCTGACAGATGAAGAACAAAAGCACATTATCTCTAGTTGTTTACTTTGCAAAACTCCTGGTTGGAAGAGCTGGGGGCGGGGTAGTGCCGGACTGAGCGGGGATTGCAGGAAAAAGGCGGGTTTCACGGAGGACCGCCAAGGTCAGCAGTGCGCCTGCGTACTGCCCTGTCTTTGGTTTGGGCGGGAGATTTGGCGGGAGGGGAGGGTCCAGGGCTTTGTTTGTAGGAATCTGTGTTTACAGATCGTACACTTTAATCTCAATTTGCTTCCTCCTCGTGTGAGTTTGGCTGATCACTTGCAGCGACACTTCTTCCGCACTCTCTGAGAGACTCATGGCTCGGCGGCCACGGAATAGGTAACTATTATACGTTTTGGCTGCTGCCTAATGAACAAAACATAGATTATTGCAGGAAGAGGAAGAACTTTCACTTTAATTTTATGAGGTTTGCACGCTGAGAGAAGACTTGTTAAGCAGTGTTCAGTTCCAATACTTAATGCAGCTAAATTGTGAATGGTTCTAATCTTTGAACGGTATGCTGAATTTCTGCAGCAAACTTTCCAACTGTAATTGAAAAACTTGTTAAAATGGAGATTATATATAGCTCGTCTGTTTAGTATTTCAAATTATGTGGGCACGTTGGAATAAGCAGATTTAAAAGGTGCAGAACTTCCATTCATGCGCGCAAGTTCTAAGTGACAAATGACAACAACACTTGTTTACTCTTAAATCGAGAAGAACAATACAATCTTGCAAAATTGATACACAGGTTGAAGATACACCTTTTAAGTTGTATATTTCAATGTGTCGCCGTAAAATAATGCAGCTGCGATAATAATATTTCTCATCTTGCACCACGTTGTTCATATAGGAAATAGTTGACTGTACGTGTTTATATGTTAGCATTGTAGTTTCTCAGTTGCAATATCCACTGAACCCCGCACGAGTGAGGCATGTTGTAGTTAAGTATGTTATTGACGTAGCCGAATGCTTTCATGCATGAAAAGAAAATAAGTGCATCCAAGACTAATCAATGAACTACATCACAATTTTATTGTTAGTGCAAGAGCTGGCGGAGTGACACGTGGATTTTAAATTATTGCAAGCTGTCTGAAACTACCGAATACAAGATCGTGATCCTAATTTTTCGACATAATAAGGTGGTTTCTGGTTGTGTCATGATAAACCGAACTTGGCGAAGGCTGTGACCCAAGTTGTCAAAATTATTATACGTAACAGTGGCAGAAATTGCTTGGAGCTTTTTCTCCTTTTTGGCCATTCGTGCGTGACTAATGTTTGTGGTCTAAGGAAACTGAATGTATCAGAATCATTATCGTCATTAAAATGTGAATGAAATGGAGAACAATGACACTTGCCCCGAGTATGCACTACCAGAAACCATGCAAGTCCGTTTGTACGATGAATGTGTGGAAATTCCATACTGGCCGATTCACTTTATTAATAGAAACTACTAGGCTCATTTCAAAATTTCAGGACTACCAACCAATCCACGGAATTATGGCATTACTGGAACTTTGTATTTTTTAATTTATTATAACTAGTACCATTTTTGTTTCGTCCATGCGCAAGAGTGATTGTGAATTTGACGAGTGAGACGAGGGCTGGAGTTATTACGCTTTAACCCATCATCTGCCGGTGAATAGTTTGCTCGCATTTATGGGTCACTAACAAAACTATATAAAATCTCACAGCTGAATGTTGGGGCGTCATGATCGCGATACTATGAACTCGGCGATATGCATTCGACGTTTAAAAAGTTTGTCTCTTTATTCGGTTTTCACAACGGATTAGTTTGGTATTTTTGCAGTAATGATTCCCAGTAGAATAGTTGAATCAAGCCATCAGTTTCTAGTTGATTTCCCCATTAGTGTGTTTGAGTTTTAAATACAAAATTTAGTAGGCGAATGACACTTGAGTTTTGAAGATCATGTCATCTATTTAAACTTACACATTGGTTTACTGTCTGCTTGTACACCAAGTGAATGATGTAACCTCTCAAGCACATCTTGATCAGGAAAATAGGACTTCATAAGTGCACCTCAACTGCAACAATGTAAATTCCTTTGCTTGCCTGGGTGAAATGCCAATATTTACTAAATTTAAAAAAAAACAGTTTTGCGCTGTGAATATATTTCTGCTAAAGTTTGGATTAAGACTATCCTGACAGCCAACAGGAAGACAAATTTCTTCCATTAATTTGGATTAGTAACGGCAAATATTTCAGTCTCTGTCAAAGTTGTTTTTATTTGCTGCACATCTATGTTGAGTTTAAATTGTTCAAATAAATTTCTAAAGCAAAGAAAGTACTTTTGCAAGCAATAAGTTATATTAAGTTTTATGTACTTAACTTGCGATAAAGCCCTGCTCTGTCAGGGATTAGGGAAAATTGTGGCTAGGGCTGAGATTCTTGGTGTTACAATTTAATTGATACCAGACAAGAATCAATGAATTGATATTCTAGACATGATATCCCACCGACTGTTTATTGGGGAAATTTGTCAGTTCTTGCTAAAACCACTAGATGGGGTGATGTGTAAAGAGAGAGGGAAAAACTGGCTTGAATCATGCACCTGCTAGAATAATGCCTCCTGCAGACTGAATTTCGAATGGGCGTAGTGAAGTATAATCCAAATAACAGTTGAGACAATAGGAAATGGAGTTTACGAAAAAATATAAGTGCCCCTCTTGTTTTTAAAGTGAATTGAATAACTGACTAAAATATTGTTTTGTCTGTAAATAATAATTCATGCTTAAGTAGTGTTAGTGTATGGTTGACTGATACATAAAATATCTTATTGTGTATTAGAACAGTTAACCTCTGAGAAAGTATTGAAGCAAAATAATGCATTTAAAGCTTTTATTTAATTTTTTGTTCAAAGAGAACACCTGAGCTACTGCTGCCTCTTCTTTAGTTTTCCTATGGCATGCTTAATACCAATTCACCTCCCATCCAGTTTTGGTCTGAATCTGGCCACTGGGTGCACAAATGAGGCAGTGACTGCTTCCTTTATTTTGTATCCCTTTTTGAAGGAATGCCCTAGACTAATAATTTTTGCCTTCCACTAATGGCAGTATTGAGTCCCGCAATTGAAATTTGGACTATCATTGGATGCAAGATTGCAGCAGTCGCTTAAGATGTTTGGGGTGTTACCACTGATCAAATTCATTAACAATATGAATACAAGAATAATTCTGAGATTAGGTTTGTCTACTTCCTTTTCCTTGTGTTGTTAATCCATTTCTGGGATAGGGATTAAGAAGAGTTGCTCAAATCCATTTTTCATACAAACCTTTACACTGTACTTGACAGACTATTTAATAATAGAGTATCATCTCTAAATCCAATTGTGTCCTCATCTGACACCCATACACACATCTACAGTAATTATTTGCAGTCAAGAGTGAGATCTTTGTCCAGTTATCATCTAAACAGCCATGGGTATTGAGGTCAACTTTGATCCTTTTGCTACATCAGCCAAGGCCAGTTAACACGTGCTAGGTAGTAGAATGGTGATATGCTTGGTTTGTATGTTTCAGTTGTGCATTAGGTAAACCATTTGGAGGGGTGGGGGGGAACATAAGCAGAGTTTTAGTATAATAAATTAACTTTTGGATGTCTTACAAATGTCTAGTGCAGGAAAGAATTTATAACAAATCTTTGTTAGGACTGAGATTTCAAAGTGGACAAAAATCTCAAGTCACCCGCAATTAAACCATTTGTATTCTAGATGTATGTATGGTCAAGTTATTCAATATGATGGTATAATGTGCTTAATGGAAACTTCTTGTGCCTATACAGGTGAATGTTTTCACTGATTCATTAGGTGTCTTTTACAAGTGTTAGTTGTAAGCAATTCTTCTTAGTATATTTATCTAGCTATTTGAGTATGTCTTAAGTGATCTGGCTATTAAAATGTAGTTAAACGCACTGGAAAACTACAGTAGATTTTAATTTTGTGAATTAATTGGATTCTTTTATTAACTACTTAATGATATTAAACACCATAAAATAGAGGAGTAGAATTAAGGGTAGGGCTAACCCTATGCCTAACCCTAACTCATCGAGCCATATACTTTAAGGAGGTGGCCAAAAAGTTGTTATTTGGAAATATCTTTGTGAATGCTGCTCTACTAGGTTAGTTATTCTAAAACATAGTAATAGTTTTCATTACTTGTGGAACCATGCAATTATCTTTGAAAACAATATATGAAACTTTATTTGTCCCTAATTATTCATGTTATTTTGTTTGTAGTTTATACAGTAGTGATGAGGAAGAAGAAGAGATTGAAATGTTTGATCATGATTATGATGGCCCCCAACCAAAGTCTTGCAAACGCCAGTTAAGTAAAACTCGATGGACCCGTGAGGAGGTATGTCAAGATTAGCTGAATGAGAAATAGCTATTTTGTAATGCACCTCTAAGCTGAAAGTGTAATCAGATTAAAATGTGCTAAACTTTTTTTTGACACATTTAATTTTGCTGTATTCCTTTGATTTGGTGTAAAACATTGACGTCTCCGCAAATAGTATTTTGTTGGTGTAAAATATGCCCACATTTCATTCTGATTACTAATACAATCTGTACTATGGTCATCTTGATCAAATCAAAAATCTTTACAGCTTCAATTTGTAATTTTTTATTGTTGTGTATATGTTCAAAATAAATACAAACAAGTTGTTTTCTTCTTAAAGGATGAAAAGCTGAAGAAATTAGTTGAACAACATGGAACCGAAGACTGGAAAGTGATTGCTAATTTCCTTCCAGTAAGTACTGTTTTCTGTGGAGTTATGCGTACTTCAAGGTGTTACTCTCATTTAAAGTAAATATATATTATACATGATTTTCACTGCTCAAAACTGGTATAAAAGTATAAGAAAAGTATAGTAATCGTTTAAAAACAATAAACCTATTGCTTCACATCCTGCTGTCACAAGCTAAAGACCAAGTCTGAAATGATGCCTGACTAAAGGATTTATTTTACAATACTTGATTGCATAAGCTTTCTTGTATTACTGGACCCTATCAAAAAGTTGGATGTTGAAATTTTTAAAATACGCTTTCAGTTATAATGCAGAGATACAAAAGGTGTTAAATCCTTTGGAACATTAAGATAGGCCACGTAAGTTTATTTTAATCATGTTGTTTGGGTATGTTATGACACACTTCCAGGCCATCGCATTCTGAGGTCGGATTAGAACCTGGACCTTCTGGCCCAGAGGTAGGAACACTATCACAGTGTCACAAAAAACAACGAACTTTAGATGGGTTGTTTAATTTCTGGATAATTTATGGATTATTTAATTTCACTTTTAACAATCCAAATTGAAAAATCTTGCCACCTGGTAATCTATCTGACACATGACTTGCTGCAGCTGTTTCATTAAGGTTGTCTGTAGTATGAAGTCCAGAACTATGAAAAGTTAACTGAGCAAACTATATAGTATGCAATGCTAAAAGTTGTCAAAAATTCCGAAGTCCAAATTTGTTTAGGAGAATAATTTCCTTGCTATGACAAACTGCTATGCTAAAGGATTATTAATGCATGCAATAATTGTATTTGGTCAGTTATTTGTCTTATCATCTTACACAATTATGTGCTTGAAAAGTGAAATGCAGAAATGAAACTTGTCTGCAAAGTATTGCATTGAATTAAAGCCACAAAGTGTTATACATTCTCTTGAAAACTCTTTAAAATTTTAGAATTAGTTCCTGTATTCCTTTACAAATCTAGAATCGGACCGATGTGCAGTGCCAACACCGCTGGCAAAAAGTTCTAAATCCTGAACTTATTAAAGGCCCTTGGACGAAAGAAGAGGATCAAAGGGTAGGGTCATTTAGCATTAAATGTTTCATAGTTAGAAATGTTTTTTTTTAAACTCTACCCTTGATCCAAAGAACTTAACTGAGATCAGAAACTCAATTTGGAAAATGGTTTATGAAAGGAAGATCAGCAAGAAATGTATTTTTACCAAAAGGTATATTTGCAATTCATCTAATGGTATTTGGCCTTTATTGCAAGGGTTTTGGAGTATAAGAGTAAGGAAGTCTTGCTTCAATTTTGGTGAAACCACACCTGATTTATTGATTTACTTTGTTGGTACCTTTGCCTGAGCGCTCAAGGGAACAAAGTTTCACAAAACTAATTCCAGGGATGAAATGTTATTCATTAAGAGAGTTTAAGTGGAATGGGTCAATACTTTTGGCAGATCTTGGGATTTATTTTAATCAGTTCCTATAAATTGAGTTTGAAAGAACCGATCCAAAAATGCACTAATCCTGATTAGTTACTAGATCCATTCCAAGAACAACATGTTTTCACATGTTTTACAGAGTTTATTAACTTCATCATAGCAACTACAAAATAAATGACACTCAGTGATTTTCAGTCAATCCACCTCAAGATTCAATTCTTGTGCACTGAACCACTAAGAATCATCATTTATTATTCCTTACTAGCTGCCTCCCTCTAGTGTATGGTTAGAGACATCCTCAACTCTAATTGGCTAATTAATGCAGTGAATGCCCAGTTCCAGATTGATTTATTTAAAAGTGATGGTCATCTTATTGGCATCACTACCTGCTGTCTCCTGATTCATTCTTTGACATTCTAATCACTTTGAAGGATCATCCACTTTCTGACAGCTTTCCTCTTAGCTTACCACCTCTACAAATCTTTGTCAAGGTAAAGTGGCACCATTAGAGCATTACATGAGGCTGTTCAGAGTATATAGTGTCACCTTCTAGTGATATGTTATACCCTAATATCCCAGCTAATACATCAAAGTATTCTCTGAACCTGTCAGTATCCTTAAATTGAAAGAACCATGTATTGTTCCACAATGAGCTGCATAACGTAATTTGAAACTAAAAATAATCATGCAAAA